TCTCTCTCTCTCTCTCTCTCTCTCTCTCTCTCTCTCTCTCTCTCTCTCTCTCTCTCTCTCTCTCTCTCTTTCTCTCTCTCTCTCTCTCTTTGAACCGTACTCCCTCTCTCTTGCAACGGAGTCCAATCGAAACAGCAAAGCGATCACGGGAAACAGCAGGTATCGTCGAACCGAGCCACATCGAACCGATCGTCGCGTTGAACCCAGTTGCATCGAGCCGAGTCGCGAGTCATCGCCGAACCAAGTTGCATGGAACGGAGTCCCGCTGGCACGTAAATACAAAAAGCGGGCCCGCTACAACCGTCAGGATCGCCGAGTGGACGACCCGATAGAACTTTCGGGATTCGCCTGACGCGGATCCCGAAAACTCTATAGGGCCGTGGCCCGAAAGACACACACGGTATCAGTTGGGCCCGCCTGCCGATCTCGACGCGTTTCCCAACAACGGTGAGCGGCCTCTCACGGGACCGTTACGCGAGGACCGCTATCTGCTTAAAAAGTGTTAAGGATAAAATACGCATACGGATTACTGAAGCCAGTCAGTTTGATGATGATACTTCTTTTGAGTCTTTTTTTTTTGTTGACAAATGCTCCAATCTATTCGTGGGGAGCAACACGTGCTGGGAACCGGGCCCAGCGTCGCATTTAGAATATACAAATGATTTGAAATACCAGGGCCATTACCTGGCTTCGGCTAAGAACAATCTGAAAACTATGAAAAAAGTTCAGGAAGATTTAGGAAGAACGTGGATAATTGTTGACCTATTGCTAGGCTACTCGAGCAGCAATTACCACAAAAGTCCTTCGAATGCTCAGAACCCCTGGACTCCCCGACAAAACACTCTAAAATTCTCTAACACTGTCTAATTCCCTGCCGAGGTCTCCCAGGCCTTATGCCCCCACCCTGCTAGGTTACAGGGCAACATGACTCACCCCAGCTCCGGCCAGCGTCGTCCCGACAGCAACCCTGGTTTTCCCTTGGAATGCCTGGCCCAAGGCATCCCCTGATCTCTCTACCAGGCCTCACGGTCCTGCTATCAACAGGTTATAGGGCAACCCCCCAGCACCGGCCAGCGTCGTTCTGGCATCGAAAAACCGCAGGTCCATGAATATAGCAGCATCAAAGATGCCTAAAATGAGTTGCAAGGAGTACCCAGAATCCTAAGGCATTATGAAGGGTCTTTTTTTGAGAAAGATTGATAATTTTTTTTAAGAAGACCTTTCCCTGCCAGCCTTGATTGCCCCTGAACCAGGGGGTTAACTGAGCAGGGATGCCCTTTGATGATAGGTTTTTTTTTTTGAGAAAAATCTGAGAACAACTTGCACCAAGTACTAATGAAAACAGCCTCGAAGGGGCTAATAAAAGAAAACAGATATCTATACAGTACTAAATGCAAAGGGCCCTTTTGTTTTTTGGAAGAACATTCAGATCGAGAAATACCTGCTTTAGGGCCTTTCAGTAGCCCACCCCTACCTGCCTCATCCCTATATCGCGATACTAGGCCTCACGCCCCCAACTGCTAGGTTACAGAGTGACATGACCCACCCCAGAAGACTCCCACCTGCTAGGCTACAGGGCAAAACGACCCGCCCCTGCTCCGACCAGCGTCGACTGAGTATCAGCTTACCAAAGGACACTAGAGTGCCTTCCACCCTCGACAACTCCCCAGCTCTCTCTACCAGGTCTCTTGCCCTTGTACAGCTTGAGTTACAGGGCAGCGCAACCAAGCCCCAGCTCCGACCAGCGTCGTTCTCGCCTCGTCCATTCGCAAAC